AAATAATTGTGCAGTGATTAACAAACTTTTTTTTGTCTCTTCTTCTTTCTTGCTGTTGAAAATTCATCTTTTCCAGCGCCAAAGTGTCAAGGTTTCTTAAATGTTTCCCGATTGCTGTCATCCAGTTTTATAATATAGCACAGAATTTAGTATTTTGTCTTCGGCTGCGTTTTCCCTTAGTTTTTTCGGAAAAATTAACTCTGTATTCTATTGGGTGTTATTGGAAGGAAGGAACGCAAAAAAGTTTGCTGTTGTAACGAACCTGTTTCTGGAGAGTGGCTTTAATCAGTGCTTATGAAATACCGAACTATGCTTGAACAACATTTTGGAGTGGGTGAAATGCAAATAGAGTCCCAGAAGGCAGTCTTATTAGCCGGCGTATCTTTTCGTCGGCCTCTTGTTCAGTTATTTCGCTAATTAAAAGCATTTTGCTAATTCTTCTTTTTGGTTTCACCTGTTGGGTTTCACCTATTTGAGTGGCAAAGTCGAAACTTTGCTTTTTATCAGTTGGGCAAGTTTAATCAATAATTTCATCTTTGAAAACCTGTGGTTACAGGTGGCTTTTACCAAACAAAACTACAGCTTTCCAAATTGATGGTTTTCGGATAAATTGGTGGTTTTATTCTTTGTTGCTTCTCAATAATAATAAAGGGTAATTTTTATCTTTTTGTCAAAAGGAAAGTTTGATGATTATAAATATTTCAAAGGTCTTTGGCTTCATATCTGAATGTTCACTTTTTTCTGTCATGCCGCTAACAAAAAACCTCTTTGCCGCTCGACAGACCTGGTACTTTTGCGCTTTTTAAAAGAAATACTTATTTTTTTTTAGTTTTCCTTTGGGTTCAAGGCAGAACAGCTTGTTTTGGCGATAATGACAGCGAGCAAGTAAAGAAATTTTTTGGCATCGGTCGCTAAAATATATTATCGGTAGGGAATTCGGAGGCTGCGTAAAAATTCTATCTGCATTTTGAAAGCGATGTGTCAACGAGCATTTTTATTTCTTCTGTAAAACTGCGTTTCGTTTTTTTTTCTTTTTTTGGCAAGAATGAAATGTTTTGAATGTTTGTCATCAATAGATCGTTCATAGCAAAATTTATAATATTACTTTTCTGGGCGGGAAGCGTTCTCTTCTTTTTGGTGAAATTGAAAAGCAGATTAAAACGTGTGGTGCGGAACGGTTTCAGTCTGGGAAAAAAGAAGATATTATTATAAGTGATGTATCAGTAGATCAATTGAAAGGCAGTCGTTAATGAGTTTTAGCGATATCAAAAATTGCTGCCGTAGAAAGGAGCTAGAACAAGTTGGGAAGGAGAGTGAGAGGGGGACAATGAAAAGTATTAGTGGGTTTTTTGGTTTTTTTTGCCTTTCCCTAACCGATTTACCACATAGGGAATGTGAGTGGTTGACTGTATAAATGTTGACTGTACTCGTTGGGGTTCGTTAACGACAACATTGGTTAAAGTCTTAACTGTCATTCAGTTGCTTTTTAGGGCACTTCACTGCAAATTCGCTGTTCTTTTGACGCCATTCGTTCGTTGGATGTTCGGCAGGCATGAAATTTCAAGCTTCTTGCATTTCCTACTAGTAAAGCAAGAGAAAAAAACAATCCCTTCATTTATTTGTAAACAACAAGTCATTTTTATTTATTTGTAAACAACAAGTCATTTTTTTAAAAATTTTATGACGAACAAGGAGACGTGTTTTTTTTGTTTTTGGAAAAAAAATCAGTTTTTTTGAGATGTGGAGCCACGATACTGTTTTCTGCTTTTTACCTTGATGGCAGTTGTGATTTTATTGTTAGTTATTCCAACTATCTAAATTCATTTGAGTTGATGTTAGCAGGTTTTATGGTTTTTAAAGCAAAAATGTCTGAGGTATAATTATAGTTTTGGCTTGATTATCAAAAGGTTTTTATTTTGCTTCTTGAAATATTTTTTGTGCGAAGACACTTTTCAAATATTTATACATCCAGTCCTTTTATATATGCCTGCTTCTTTTGTTTCTTGCTTCATCTACTGTCGTTAATAATAAAAAAAACTGTGTTAACAATATGTGAAGATAATAAATTAATTAGCTATGAGTAAATAAATATATACAATAGAAATATAAGAAAGTAATCAAATAAATAAATGTGCATACATATTCATTTATCTATTTGTTTATTTATATAGCACATAAGCCAGAAATGGAAGAAAAAAGGGACATAGAACTACGCTAGCAGTTTTTTGCTGATATTGCTGCAGAATTACAACAGGGATCACTGTTCATGGCTAAACTAAAAAACTAGCACATTCGATAAAAATGCTTGTTTTTTCTTGCTTTATTTTACATTTTCTACTTTCCATTTTCCAATTTCAATTTCAATTTTAACAGTGTAGTCTGAAAAAGAATAGTAAGTTATAATTTGGTTATGAATGCAGAAAATATGCACAAAACATATACCGGTAAATTGCAACTTTCCGCATCATACAATTAGGCAAAATGAGGAGGAGTTGTACTTTGTTTCTTTCACCGTTGCACTTAGAAACAATCAGTCCACTTGTTGCTACTGTACCTTATGTTTTTCTCGTCGTCGATTGGAGGTTATTTGCCTTATCAGCAGTAGAAAAAGTTAGTATCAGTAAATTTAATTAATAACGCTTGTTGATTGTAATTTTGAGTCGGAGAACAGAGGTCAGATAATAGTAGGGACTGTTTGAGGAGAAAGAATATAAACAGCTTGCTCGGCAAATTAAACAACTTGGTGGGTAGACGCAATCGGTTAAAGAAACATAGCGATGTATCTAAGTGTATATATATATATATATATATATATATATATAT